ATGAAATGGCCATGTAACTGGGTGGGGCAAAGAGGAACTAAAGCATCTAGATAGCTACCTTCCTTTCCAATGTTAGGAGTCCACAGCATACGTTACAAGCCATTACATAGCCAGATCCAAGCTGTGCCTAAGCAAATATCGATTCTCTGTAATCAGAACCACAGGAATCAATACAAACATACCTATATCATGCACAACTGGATTACATCATGCACTGTGATGTGGCACATCAGTTACATAAAATGTCACATACACAGTTGCTGCCCCACCCACTGATACCATAAAAAACCTTTGCAACAAGAGATTAAGATTATAAAGTTTAATCAGAAGCTTATTAAGAATGGAGAAACCGACCCAGTCTCAAATGACATTTAATACTGTCTACATTTCCCAGTTACTGTGACAGTACATTCAAGGTACACCTCAAATTACAGTTTTTCCACAATGCATCAGCAATGTGGCTCATTCTGCAACTCTAACTTTTCTTATTCTTTCCTTCACTCATCGCTTCTCCATTTAGAGATGTTACCACTTCAGGATGTTAACCTGTGAACTCAGTCCTTCCTCTTTATGTGGTAACTACTTTCGCAACTGAAGAGCACGTCCTAAAAAAGATAAGCAATAAAAAACTCTTGAAAAATGCAATGACACTGGGATTCAAAATAAAAAGTTAGTTTACTTTGTTTCCAGAGACCGCATTTTCTGTTTCCATTCAATTATTTCAATGCTTTAAGTCCCACACTCAGTCTGTTTAAATAAACTGTGAAATATTTTAACTAGTACAGAAATCTGAACCTCATTATAGTTTGTTATAAAGAAAATACCAAGATTGACACACACAAAGAACTCAAGAGCAGGAGCCAGAAAATACAGCTTGAAAAATTGCTGAGCACAAGTCAGAAAGAAAAAGCAAAGACACGGGGGAAAAAAGCTAACCTGATATATATATATATTTAAAAATAAGGGGGGCAGGGGGTGGTGTTTGCTTTGCTGGTGAAAGTATAATTCTTCATGAGCATGGCTCCATCTTATATGTTCATATTTCATAGCTACAGGAACCAACTTTTGCAAAGAATTACAAAACACTGCAGTAGTGAAGTCATGCAAAGTGTTGATAAATGTAACTACATGTACATCTTGCCAAAAAAGACACAGTACCAGAAAACAAGCAAGGTCCAATTATTTCAAATAAAAACCCAAACCTAATTACAATTATTTGGAGATGATAGAAGCTTGCAGGATTTGGGGTTGGGGGGAGGTAGTCTTACTGAAGAATTTGACCCCCATTGAGAAAACTTTTTTTTTTTTTTCATCTCCCCTCAGGTTTGGGCCAGGACAAGAGCACTGTTAGTATGTCATTTATCATTTTAGATCTTTGAACAATTTTGCAGCTGATTTTTTTCACGTGAGATACGCTACTCTATCCAAATTAACACTATATAGTCTTTTCACCAATAAATAGAAGCGGCCTTTATTCTCAATGTTAAAGATTACTTCAGAACGTAAAAAAATACAGATTGTTTCTCCCGCACCATAACATCACACTGAAGAGAAGAAATTATGTATTAAACCACCGAATCCTTCATTATGACCAGAACTACAATATGTAAAGACCAGAGGTCATGGGATAAAAAAATCCTGAATCCACACTTACTGAAGTGGTAACTAACCTTCCCATCCTGTAACCAAACACTGATCCTCCTTCCAATACTGGCACAAATGAATCTCCACAAAAGAGCAAAAGTAAAAAATTCTTAAGGTGGGCAACAGATTCTAAACTGTGATTTTATTTTTACATTAGGAAGGGTAATACAACCTCTTTAAGATGGAAAAGAGTTATAACAATTAAGCTTCTATATTTCATTAATAAAGAATTGTCCAGAACACAAAAATTGTAATGTCCACTGTCACAATTCAAGCCGCTTACCAACTCAAAACAAGGTTTAATTGAGTTTTGAAGAGCATTTTTGTTTATGAAATAAAAAAAAGCCACAAAACTTTTTTTCATGTCCACCACAGCCAATTTCTGAATTTAGTAAGCAGTGAGCTTTTCAGCAGGAGGTTGAGAGACACCTCCAGAGATCCCTTCCAACTTGAACTGCTCTACAATTTTATTACTAACATCAACTGTTACAGAATCAAAAGTGACTGCTGCAAAAAAGCACAGATTTTTCTTAATGACATTGCTTTGTATTATTGTAAAGGAAAAAAAAGCAAACCTCAAGAATTTAGGTTAGAAAATATAACACCCAGTTCTGTGCAGCTCCTAGTACATCCTCAGACAACTGCAAAGTATCTACACAAGGATCAGGAAAATTTTGTTTCTCCTTACCAATGTGAAAACCTGAATATTTGTACTTATCTGTAGTAATAATATTCACACATAAGTTGAGATAGAGGAGATATATTACAGTAGAGCTGCTTGCAATGGAGCAAATAATTGGCAGTGCTTATGGGTTCTATAGACTTTCTGATAAGTAATGCAATAAAAGAATAATTTAAGCACAATTTAATATTTAAATTATTTTAATCATCTGTCCTTGACTTATGTTCTATGCTACAACGCAAAAAAATTTAAAATGTTTGAATATATTAATGATTTTAGATACATGTAAATCTTACAGAAAGTGAAGATTAAGCATTAAAATTTTCTAACTACACTGCTTCAGAATTGTTTAGCTGACTAAACAATTTGACACACAACAGTAATTTTTTGCAAGGGAAGTTAATTAACTTTTTAAAGTCCAACTATGGACTCCAACTTCCTAATTGTTTTGGTCCAAGAAGTACTATGAGCAAAGGTGGCTAACAGCAGAGATCAACAGAGGAAGTAGCCATTTGTTCCACGTATCAATGTTCTTCATCTACTTTGCTATGATACTGCTGTTCCAGATTAGTCAGGCATATTTTCCATGCATTACATGATTCTCATTTTCGTCTCCCTCCTAAATATATGGCACTCTAATGAGGGAACTCCAACCTAGACCTTCACTCCATCCTCTTAAAAACGGTCACCTTTCACTTCAGCATCTTACTGTACATGTGATGCATGTGTAACAGACTGCAGCAGCAATGCTGGTAATACAGCTAGCTTCAAATTACAGGCATTCTTGTTTTGTACACACAGCAGTTTAAACACAGACTAAGGAGTTAAAAATAAAAGGCCACTAAAGAGCTTCAGGAATAGGATGTTCTCCTGCTGTTCAAAGGAAGCAAAAGGAAAAAAAATGTGAGTTGCAAAGTTTTAGTCTTAAAATAACTTGGCTGAAACAAAACTCAGACAATTTTTAGACAGAAATCTCTAACCACAGACAGTAATCTACTACTTTACTATTGCATGACCAGTCAGATGAGCCACTGTTCCACACCAATGTTACCAGTGGTTTTTATTCTGTTAATTCCTTCTTCCAAAGAGGGAGGAAGGAAGCAGCATTTTTTTTCCTTCAAAGTATGAGAACTTTCCCAAAAGGTTAGAGGCATCCCACCATAAGAAAATGTTTGGGTTTACTTTATTAGCATTCCTGTATGGACGAAGAAAAATAATCTGTTGAGAATTACCCTCATCAGAAAGCTAAAGTAACAAAAACATGTTTAAATTTACGTAGTCCTGCAAGAAGCAGGGACTTGGACTTGATGATCCTTATATGGGTCCCTTCCAACTTGAGATATACTATGAACCCTAACAACCCTGTTTAGTATTACAAGTTGTAAAGCTATTTTCATGACACCTCAAGATGTTGGGACTGTGCTTAGCATGTGGCTACAGTCCTGAAAGAAATTACTTAGAAAAACCTCATTAGCTTTATTTTCACACTAACTGGACTGATATGCCTCAATTTTCTTTTCCTATCAATAAGCTTCAGAAAATTTCAGTCAATTTATGTTTTATTACCTCAATTTGATCAGTTTTCCTATACAAATTAGTTCCAGCAGCTCTCTTCAGAGGAACTTCACCGAAATAAGACACTTACACGTATTAATAACTGCTGAATAACGCAGTTTAACAGCACATAATAAAACACTCAACTAACCACAGGCTGCAACTGAACTGTTATTTTAGCCAGGTAAATCGACTGAAGACTTGTATGGGGCCAGGTTAAGTATATTCTAGAAGCACAAAAGCAGCCAATCCTCCAGCAGATGACTCGTCATAAATACGAGCGATCGCTCACCTCGCGACTACCAGCGACCGAGCGGCGACACTTGCGTGCACGGTCAGGACGCAGAGATGCGGGCACGGCCGTTAACGCGGCCGATACTTACCGAGACACCGTCAGCCTAAAACCGAGCTCCGTCGCGAATCCGAGGCGTGTATTTATATTTATTAATTACATGCGGCAGCGGGGGGGGGGGGGGTGAGGGGGGAGGCGCCGCCAAGGGCTCCGCGGCCGATGGCGCCCGGGGAGCGGCCCAGCCCCGCTCCGCGCAACGGGCGGCGGCCCCCCCGCTGCGGTTCCCCTCCTCTGCCCCGGGGCGGGGGGGGATGTCCCCTACCGCGTAACGAACACGCCCTGCTCGGCACCGACCCCGGTGCGGGCAAAACCCACGGGGCCCTTCAATTCCCCTCGCCGAAATCGCAGCCCTCGGGCCGTCGGCGGGGACGCCAGCCGAGGGCGGGTGGAAGATCTGCTCCCCTCCGCTACCGGAGCAGGGGGGTGCGCGGAGGCGTGGGGAGAGGCAAGTTCCAGCGGGGAGGGCGCGAAGGGAGGAAGAGGAAAGCGAGCGATAGGGAAAGAGGGGGGCTGGGGGATGCTGCCGCGCCGACACGCCCCGCCGCCAGGCTGCCTGGCAAATGGGGCTCAGCGCAGGGGGCTGCATTTGGAGAGCAAGGAGGGAGGGGGAGGGGAAGGAAGCGAGGCGGCAGCTCCCCCGCACAATGGCCGCCCGCCCTCCCCCCCTTCCTTCCTTTACCCTCCCCTCCCTCCTCAAGCTCGGGCTGCCGCATCGCCCCGCCAGGGACCCGGGCGCAGGCCCCGAGGCGCGCCCGGCCTCTCCCGTACCTGCAGCGTCACCTCCTCGGGTCTCCAGTGGGGCCGCAGGCGGCGCAGAAGCTGCAGGGCGCCCTGGCGGTAGCCGGGCCCCTCCCGCTCGCTGACAGTGATGTCCAGCTTGGGCACCTCCGGGGAGCCGGGCGGGACGTGGATGTAGTTGGACATGGCAGCGGGGCGAGCGGTCGGGCGGGACGGGACGCGACACGGGGCGAGGTAGGGCGAGCGGCTGTCGCTGGCGTCTCCTCCGCGGCGGAGCCGGCAACTGAGAGGGGGAAATTTCCACTTCGGCTCTCGATAAAGCGGCTCCACCTCCCCCGGCTGCGGCGCGGAGCAGCCTGGGAGAGCGGGCGGGGCCTGGCGGCGCCCTGCCCGCCGCCCCCCTCACCTGCCCGCCGCCCCGAGGCAGCCGGAGCGGGGGTTGACTAAAAGCTCTCGGCGGCTGCGTGAGGGGGAGCCGCGCGGGCGGCCGGTGCGGGAGAGCGGCCCCCTCAGCCGCCGCCCGCTTCCCCGGGCCAGCGGGGCGTGAAGGAATGCGGCCCGCAGCGCCGCCCGCGCCACCACCGGGCCGCGGGCCGATTTTAATCGGGCTTTGAGTTATCTGCTGCGGTTGATTTTTTTTTTTTTTTTTTTTTTTTTGTCTTCCATTTCTGTGCCAGCCTTCGTCACCCCCACCCCCCCCCCCCCCCCCGATGATTCCCCCCCCCTCCCCTGCGGGGTGCCGGCCTGCCAACCGCCTTGCTCCACTTTCCTGCTTGAGCCAGCGGTAGTTTGATACCATTCGTGGTCCCCTAGGGCACTGAGAAAGTATCACGCTATATGCCCGCCTGATTTAAACATCTTCATGAAGTTCATCCTTCTCATGAGCAGTACAGAGCAGTTACTTTGTGGCGGTTTTGGTTTGGGTTTGTTTTTTTGTTTTTTTTTTTTTTGTTTGTTTGTTTTTTTTTTTCCCTGTTTTATGCTGAAAACCTTGCTGCCTTGGAGTTACTTTCAGTCAAAAAAAAAAAAAAAAAAAAAAAAAAGGGGGAGGAACAAATTATCCTGTCTTTTTTTTTAGAAATATTTTGATGTTACCCCTAATATTCCTACAGCTACCTGCCTCCTGTCACGTTCTCTGATCTTCCCACGTAGGAAATGCTGAAGTTTCAAGAAGTTCCTCTGTTATAAAGCAAGTTTGTCAAGTGAGCCTAACACACAAGAACTACGCAGAGTAATGGCCAGCCTATTCCCTGGAAAGTTGTTACTCTAAATAGACCTAGGCCAGGGAAAAGGGGCATAATTTACACTCAAAATGAACAATGCCATGAGGGAAACTGCTAGTTCTACAGGTTTAGTTCTCATTAATTTCATATGCATTTCCTCTCCAAAAGTGCAGGGCAGTAATAACCTTCCCACTGTGTCATCCATGACCATCTACTTGTGAATGTGTCTTGTCTTTTACCAAGAATTGCTGTTATCTTGTCACTGAAGGGTTTTGCACTACCTCACTATGTAAGTGCATCATCGTGTCTATTCCTGTTATTTCTGTTGAACACCTCACCTTCCCCCAGTATCTCTCTGTTCACTCACCTGTATGCCTTTCTCCTCAGGCAAGATAAAACACTTGGAATAGTCTATCAACAACTTTTCAAGTAACTTCCTTCTTGAATCTTTTTTCTCTCATTCTTCGTGAACATTAATCTTAGTATTCTCTTCCATCTAAACTTTGGTTCAGACCGAGTGTTTAAAATCTTTAGAGGCAGAATCCATCTTTGTGAGTATTCAATAAACAAAATTTCCTTCTGTTGTATTTTAAATTAAAATGTAATGTTTATGGGTTGGTATTATTAGTGTAAATATGTTATTCTATATTAATAGCCTTTTTCTATCAAGGATTAAAAGGGTAAGAATATAGGTGTCTGAATCAAATTTCAAGTGTCATAAAATTTGCAGACCTAAGTGTTATAGCTTGAGTATATTTCTAGTGGTAATATGCTTTTAGCTTGCCTTTGTTTAAATCTGTTCCCTAAAATAAACCTGTTTCAAGTTTTACAACCCTCTTTCATGGGATTTTACGTCTGTCATATATACACTAACTCACCACTTCCTTAAAATCTTCTTTCTCCACCTCACCTGATTGGACCTACCCATTTCTTCTATTAGCCCACTCCACTTTTTCTTCTTTAAAAGTAAGGACATTTTGAAAGTTAAACTCTTTTTTTATTTGAGAAAAAAAAAAATCTTTAAACACACTCACCTTTATACATTGTTTAGTCCTATAAATTAGTGATATCATACTACTATGGTAATAGTATCTGATCAAGCATGTGATACACAGTGCCCTCTGCTTCTGCTCAGGCAGTTTAGTAGATGATAAACTAAGACTCATTTATGGATTAAGGGCAAAGTGACATTTTTGTTGAAATAAAATATCAAAGGTTGAATGTTCCAGCTCCTGTATGTTAATTTCAACAAGAACTGGTCTAAACAGAGATTCAATCTTGCTGATGCTGAACATAATATTCCCACCAGAAGCTTTCTGTCGTTAACTCTGAGAAGCCTTGCTAACTTACTCAAGTCTGACTAAATTTCCAGACGTCAGCTGTGAGTATACTTTAAACATTAAGAGGCGTTGGGGGGGGTGGGGAGGGAAGTTGGAGCAGTCACGGTACTTAGGTTGTTTGGGAATTAAAGGAACTGAACTTCTGCCTACTAAATACTTATAAAATAGATGAAAGAACCAAGAACGCTTAGGCAGTAGCACCTTCATCTTTCTGGTCATGGTATAAAGACACATACATCCTATTTTCTTGTCCTCATCGTGCATTGGGTATTCTTAATTCCTGTTTTGAAACAGTTCAATAAAGTTGTAGTTGGCTACTCACCCCATTTCCTTTCCCTTCTGTTTCCTGCAAATACTTGCTCTGTCCAAATCAAACCCCAGGAAACAAATTCTGAAGACTGGGACTCTTTCTGAAGTTTCTAAGAAGGGTATTTTTTTTCCTTCTTGAAAAATGTATTTTCCTTTTCCCCGCTCCTGACATATGTATCCTACAAACTGTGAAATTTGTTAGTAAGAACTCTAGTGGGTCCCTCACAGGCTACAAAGTGTTCAGGTCAGCAATAGGTTTGTTCTTAGAAAAACCTGATGATACATGAAGTGAGGGTTCAGGAATAAAGAGAATGTGTTTTCTCTTCATGCCTGATACTTTTGTAGGTACAGCATAATAAATTAAAGTCATCCTAAGGCTGACCATAGATGTATGCAACAGGAATCTGAAAAAACCAGGGTGCTTTATTTCTCTCCCAGGCCTCTACTCTACTAGGTGGTCTGGGTACTGACCACAGACAGCCTGTCTGACCTGCTTATCCTCTGTTCTACCATTCTTTTTTCCTTCTGCTAATCAGAAACCTGGTTGTCCCATTTCATTTATTCCTACATTTTTCACCTTGCCTTTAGGTCAATGCTGGATGCTTTATAAGCTCTTAAAAAAAAAACAAACCAACAACAAAAACCACAAAACAACAACAACAACAACAAAAAAAACACAAAAAAAAAAAAAAAAAAAAAAAAAACAACAGAAAAAAAAAAAAACAACCCACACAAAGGAAAGAGTAATGTCAGGTTCAGAACCAGTTTTAACTTCCCAGGTGCAGTTCTCCTGGCTGCTTTCCAAACCCAGTAAGTCGGTAATTGCTTCAGAAGAACTCAGCACATAAATGAGACTATAAATGGGAAATGTACCCCTTCTAGCCATAATTAAATTTAATAACATTTTGCATAGCTGAGAGTCTGAAAATACTTTCTCTTGTCCTAATCTCACAAACAAAAAAACTGAGTCATCAGAAGGTTAAACCTGCCATCAGACCAGTCAGTCAGCAAGTCTGTAAATAATTTTTGACTTCCACTCCAGTCCTTTGATCGCAGGCTTTCTTCAGTGCTTTAAAGAATGTCATCTCTGTTGATTATCCAGCATGTATTTGCGTCAAGATGAATCACGTCTCTGTACACACAGTGTTAAACTGTAATTCAACTCTTATACTTATTTAATATATTGATTTTTAAAGTGTCTGGTGCCCTAGCATCCATATTGATTTACCAGCAACAACTCTCAACACACAAAGTTGATAGTTCTGACATATGTTTATTGCAGTCTATAAACAGATTTCATTTTAATTTTGGTGAAGACTAGCTTGAAATAGATTATTTTATAAAAATCTTGACAGTTTACAAATTTCTCTAAGATGGATACTACTTGGTATGTTGTTGAAAAGGTAAAACCCCTTTTCTTGTGCAAGTTGCTTGACAGAATAGTAAGTTATAGCTTTTTCAAGGTATATATTGAAAACTGCATATGATAGCAGAGTAAAAGCCTCAATGCTCACTGAAGTTTTATGGCTGAATTTTCTACTAGGACACCAATTAGTGACACTCATTTGACACGTTCCATGTGAATAACCTAGTTCCTGACTATCTAACCCCTATTTTTTTCAACATGGGAATGGTGTGGTGCATAAGGTAATGTGATAACAGATATGATTACATGTGAAATAGCTTAGTGGTTTCCAGGTCTTTCAGCTTTTCAGGGTTTCACCTGGAAACCTCAGAAGTTTCTAGTGGAGGTCTAGACATCTGTACCAATAGGCTTGGTTACCTACAGGGCCCCCTCAGATGAAAGCACAGATGTCTTCCCTCTGTGCTGTCCCTGGATCTGAGTCCATGAACTATAGGCTGAGCTGCCATGAGTAGTTATCCAGTTACACGTCCTGCCGGAAACCAAAGCAAACTAAGCAAAATGCTTGAACATGCATGTTAATTAATCTCAGCGCAGCAAAAAGACAAAACCTGACAAAACCTGCTTAAGTCAGTAGGACCAAATACATGCTTACGCTTAAGCAGGTGCTAAATCAAAATGAATGGCTTGGCAAGGAATTCTGCAATTTCTCCCTGCTGGTGGGGCTAAACTGTACAATGGTTTCAGGTTATTTATAACATATTATAGCCACTGGGTATAGAGAAAGAAGAGAAGATCTTCATATTAATTACACTACTCAAAAATACAAGTTAAATAAAGCAGCACAAAATCATAATTAAGGCCAGCATCTGCATTCATCTTATTAGGCATACCTGTATTTTAAAATATGAAGAGTAATTACAAGTTGACTGATCCTTGACTAAATTTGAACACGCATCCAATTATTTACCATATTTTGGTGTTTTTCTCAAGGGCAACCAATACACATACTCTGTAAGTACCCAAAAAGAGTCTATGCAGGCAGATTTAGGATGCTTTTCACACAAAAATTAATTCACCTGCAGCAATATAAGAGGAGGAGTTGAAGGACTTTTGTATCTTTTAGA